GGCTGGGCCAGCACTGGGAGGTCAAGGGCAGGGACCGCCCAGCGTGGAGGTCGGTGCAGCGATGAGCCCCACATCCGTGTGCCGGGTGAGAAAGCGGGAACCCGAGTGAAAAGGCCAACACTGCGAATTGGAGTGAGTTAAATACATGTGACTGACGGCGCAAGAGCACATTAAAGAATCTCCGAATGAAGCACAGTAGGCTGCGGAGGAGGACGGGAGCAGGTCGCGGGGGCCAGGAGGAGCGTTAAGGGAGGCAGGAGGGCGCTGTCACCGGGTGATGCTGTCCAGCCGCGGGGGAGGGGGGTGGACGAAGCATGGGGGAGCTGCGGCGCCCCAGAGCGCCTGAGCCCTGCCCCTGCCCAGCCGCCTACCTTCACCCCTCGCCTTTTCCCATCCCTGCTGCCAAAAGCCGCAGCCGCTCTGTGCTTTACCTAAAGCCCAGCTCAGTTAGGTGTTCCCTCTGCACCTGCCTCCACCCAGGCTCCCTGTACCGTTTTATTTGTTTTATTTTTAAACAGCTGTATTGGAAGCATAATTGACACATAAAGAGGCACACGTGTTTTGTGTGTACAGCTTGATCCTTTTGGATACAGGTCCATACCTGTGAAAACATGGCCACAGTCAAGGCAGTGAGCACATTCATCTGTGTCCAGAAGTCCCTCACGTCCTTTTTTGCAGTCCCACCCCTTGACCCCTACGTCTGTTATCTCTCCCTGTGCATTAGCGCCTACACTGGGTGTTTTGACTCTGCAGAGTTATTCTGAAATCCATCCAGCTTGTGTCAGTAGGTCACCCCTTTTCCTTGCTGAGTAGTATTCCACAGTGTGGCTATACCTCAACTCGTTTCTCCATTCACCTGCTGCTGGGTTTGGGTTGTTTCCAGTCTGGGGCAATTACAGATAAAGCTACTGTGAACATCTTATGTACATACAGATCTTTGTATGGACATATTCTTTCACTTCTCTTGGGTAAATACTTTGGGGTGAAATGGCCTGGATCATGTAACAGGTTTATGTTCACTTTTTTGAGAAACTATTTTGCAAAGTGGTTGTATCAGTTTCCCCACCTCCCCCAACATATATTCATTTACCAATAGGTATTGTCTTAACTGAAATCTGGCCATCTTTAATTAAACCAAGAAATGCTTATTTCTGACAAGTGTAAACAGAATTTCAACAGTTTGTCTAAATCTTCTTAATTACATACATTAACCAGCACTTGATTTTTTTTTTTTTTGGTGGGGGTACTGGTAATTAGGTTTATTTATTTTTTAACGGACGTCCTGGGGATTGAACCCAGGACCTTGTGCATGCTAAACACGCGCTCTACCACTGAGCTAGACCCCCCCCCCCGCTGCATTTGATCTTTACAGTAGCAAAATAACCACTCCCAACTCACATGCCTGTGTTCAAATACCTGCTCTAAAACCCAAAGAAAAGCAAACTGCATTGACAGGAGATTGCCTGATTAAAATGCAATCATGAAGTCATCTCTTTATGTGATTACCCCCAAATCCCAGAATGCATTTTCATAATTATCAACATTAACAGAACAAAATTAACAAAATAAGTGATTTGAAGTTTTTTTTTTTATTAATTGCACATTGGTAGCTTCAATGTGGACAATGCTAGGATTAGCTCCAAATGTGATCTCAGCGTATCTAGACTAGCCTGTTACTATCCACGCAACGAAAACTAACACAGCGTTAAAATGAGGTCTGCCTGAACTGAACTAAATACAATTCATCACATTTAATTTCATCTGTTTCTTTTCGGTTGTTTAAAACGTGGCCACTAGAAAATTTTAAATTACACATGTGGCTTGCATTTGTGGCTCCTGTTACATTTTCACCAGACCTGACTGCATTATATAAATCGTGCTGGAACAGAACGAACTTCAATCACTTGTCCACTGATTAAAAAAAAAAAAAAGCACAGCCTAAAAGTTGATAATTACGTTTTACTCAGTGGATTCGGCGGACTTTTCTGGGGACTTCAAGTCTGGGAGGTGCGGCCTCTCAGATTCCTCTGAGTTACTGTTCCAAAGAGGCAGAGGAGAAGCCAGGATGTATAAGAGTTTTTGCAACAAAGACCAGGTAGTCGGAACGTCAAAAGATTACTATTAATTAAAGAAAACCAGATATTTGCAAGTTAAGGAGTTTAATGATTTTCTACCTACGGGAAGACGCAGAGGTCTGGGCTCATTGAAATCACTCCTGTGATCTGTACCTTGGCTCTCCAGGGCCAGTGTCCTGTGCCTTCCCATCCTGAGTCCCCTCAGGCGGCACCGCTGGGGGAGGCTGCAGAGGCTGACTGCTAGATGGCGGGGCATCTGGTTTCTATCCTGAGTTCCCTCAGGGCTCACTGTTTGGGGGAAATGGAAACATTGCAGTGTGGTGGCTTGATGGCTGCAACATCCTTTATTTACTGATACAGTGGGCAATATTTTTCACTCACACACTCGGCTGCTTATTACATTGAAGTATTCTAGTGGTAATGCTTGGCTCTGCTATCTTATATGGTCCCTGGGGACGGGCAAAGAAAGGTAAGCATAAGTGATCTTTACGCCAGACACAGGGGCTCAATGCCTATTTGTTGGGAAACAAACGAAATCTTGTAACTCAGGACAGTAATTCATTTGCACAACACAGACTGTACTTGAGTCTGTTCATAGAAATGGTCTTATCCTGGGATAAATCTACCCTGATAACAGGACAATTAAACTTACCCTCAGGTTAGTCAGTTCTGGCTTGACATTGGTCCTCTGTCCTGCAAACCATTGTCCAACGTCCAGAGCATCAGATACAGGTGAGGGTGGAGGATTTCCAATTATCGAGCTGGAATTAGAGAAATGCAGGTGTGTGTGAGTGGAGGGTGGGGGTCAGGGAGTGATGATGTGATATTATGATACAATAAGACAAGCAGAGCACAGGGAACTACATCCAATAGCTTGTAGTAACCTATAATGAAAAAGAATATATACATGTATAACCGAATCACTATGCTGTACACCAGAAACTAACACAACATTGTAAACCGACTATACTTCAATTTACAAAAAGAAAGAAAGAAATACATATTTGGTCTTCATCCCTGGATCCTGACACAGAGCACCAAAAATCCTTGGAATTTCTTAAGTGATGTGGTGAGAAGAGTTATTTTTTGTTATTCATAAAAAGTTCCTTTCAACCTTACCAGAGTTGATGCTAATGGGGTGACTCTCGCTGGGTCTCAGGCTGGGGGCTGGCTGCCCCAGTAAGCAACTGTGTGATTTAGAGGGTTGGATTTTTCAGCTCCCCACCTGCCGGCTTCCAGGTTGGTGAAGGCATCTGTGCACCCGGAGGATGGTGCACTTCCATCCCCTCCTGGGGTCCTGGGTAAGCCAAAGAATATGTAAAGGTCCTTGCTTGGTCGGCTTGCGCTTCTAAAACAAAAATGCCACTGACTGAGTGGTTTATAGATTTATTTCTCACAGTTCTGGAGGCTGGGAAGTCCAAGATGGAGGTGTGCACGTAGTCAGTGTCTGGTGAGGGCCCACTTCCTGCTTCAGAGATGGGGTTCTCTCTCTCTCGCTGCCCTCACCTGGCAGAAGAAGGACAAGTGAGCTCTTCTTACAAAGACACCAATCTCATACAGGAGGGCCCCACCCTCATGACCCATTCACCTCCCACAGACCCTCCCTCCAAATACAATCATATCGGGGGTTAGGTTTCAACATGTGAATTTGAGGGTGCGCAGACATTTGGCCTATAGCAGTCCTGCTGTGGCTTTTGAGGGTTTTTTCCAAACGTGTGTCAATAAAGATATTAATCAGTGGCTCTGAACAGTGACTAGAAATTATGACAATCAAAAACCTCAAAAAGTACAACATTGTAAATCAAGGATACCTCAATTTAAAAAATCCTAGGTTAAAAAAGAAAGAAAAAGAGAAGACAAATAACTAGTAATGAAAAAGGGAATGTTACTACATATTCTTTTTTAAAAATAAAAACTGTACATTTTAAAGGTATACCAAAAAAAAAAAAATCTCAGATAACTACCATCTTCTCTATGCCGAAGAGTGGCAGCTGGGAGTAGTGGTAAATAGTATTTGAAGCCAAAAATTTTGAGACCCACTGGCAAAGGCAAGGAATCACATAGGACGCAGCTCAGGGGAACCAAAGGGTGCTGGGTGAACACGGAGTCTTGCTCCTGCCCTGTCCCGGACCACCACGTTCTCCTCCCAAGGCAACCCCTGTCGTTGCATTGGTTTCCTGTGACTCCTGCCAGAGACTGCAGGAGCGTGTATGCATATACTATTATTTCACAATAATAGCATATTATACACATTTTTTTGGACCCTGTTTTTGTTGTTGTTGTTTTTATTTTTGTTTTCTTCTCTCTCTTTTTTTTTTTTGTACATACACCTTGGCCTGCTGTACCACTCTTTGCCTCATAGTATCCATTCTACCACAATTATTTAACCATGCCCTTACTGATGGACAAAAAGAATGTTGGTAAATTCCTTACAATCAGCAGCTGCACTTTCTGAATTTACTTTAAGTCCCCATTGTTCTTCTATGACTTTTATGCAAGTTGTTGCACTTATTGCCAATATAACACTATGTAACATTATTATATGATATAACACAATATAACATTATTGTATGATAAAACGCAATCTGATGTTCAGCTTTGCCTGTAGGAACCAGGCCGTTAATTTCATTTGACCCATCTCGCCATTAACGCAGAAAATGTGAAACCAGTCTACAGTGATTGCATGAAAATGTACATTTACATTATTAGTCTGATTAATAAACACTTTATTTGTCCCATTTATTTCGGTCCTAACACAATAAAGGGTCAGCGTTATTAGCCAGGGTGAAATAAGAGTGATAATATTTAATCTCATGAATCTTTCAGGCAGGTCAACTTCATTTGGGCCCCAGGAATTTGGAAATATTCTTAATCTCTAATTTTTTTTATTTTAGTGTTTTTGTGGGGGGAGATGGTAATTAGCTGTATTATTTATTTTTAGAGGAGGTACTGGGGATTGAACCCAGGACCTCCTGCATGCTAAGCATGCAGTCTAGCACTTTGAGCTATACCCTTCCCCGTGGAGTTAGTCTTCAGTTATACGCATGCAGTAAGATTTTGTGCATCCGCCTGTGGCAGAGGCTGGCAGATCCAAGTCCTTAGGCTGAGCGTCTGTAGCTCTGTCCACAGCTCAGAGTCTCCTTCAGAACCTCAAGGGCATGTTAAGTATTCAGGGCTCTGTTTTCTTGTGTTTTGGAACCTCTGGACATTCTGCCATGACTGAGGGGCGCTATACACTTTTCAAGGATTAATTTCTCACAACAGGTAAATTTACAAGTCTAGAGCACACCTTGATCCTGTTTGCATTAGATCTTATAATTGAAAAGTTTCAGCGATCATATTTCATACTCAAAAATCACTTGCCCATAGCCCGCTATGACATTCATCCTTACAGTTGCTAAAAGACATAATGCCAATTTCTTCTAATCACTGCTGAATTAAGTTTTTTTTTCCCTTACTCTTAAATCCATACTTGACTTTGGCATTGGAAGGCTGCTGCAAAACGGGTATTGATTAAATCATAAAACCTATGCATTGGGAAAAATGTGAAGTACAGACCATGGAACTGAAAATTAACAGAATTAGCAAAAGAAATTGCTGCAAAGAAGTTCTCTCATAAAAGAGTGTGAAATCAGCAGCTAAGTGACAACCAACTGGAATAAGAAATGGGACCTAAAACGGGAAGTGATCTAATCTGCTTAGGCCTCCATACAAGTCAGAAAGTCCCCGGTCAGTTGGAAGATGACCATTTCCACTCTCTTTTGTGTCCTGTCAGACTTATGGGTAAAAATGCACTTGTGAATAAATACTGACTGCGTACAGTTTGCCCTGCATTATGACAAGGAATTCTCTCCTCTCTTACATTGGTTTTACTGTGTCACAAATTCTTCTGGAAGTGTTTTATTTCAGCGATTTCAAGTCTCTTGTTTATAAGACTAGTCACAAAATAACACCGTCATTAAGAAGAGCTGATTTGGGGGGGAAGCGGCCGAGACAATGGAGTAGAGCGATGTTCTTAGTTCACCCTCTCCCACGAACACACCAAAACTGATATCCACGGACATATCCATCCACTCAGAACACCTGCTGCACTTTGACAGAGCATCACCTTCTTCAAAAGGCAAATTCGCCACAAATCTGATGAACCAGTTTATACTGTACAGCACAGGGAACTACATTTGATATCTTGTAGCAGCTTACAGTGAAAAAGAATATGAAAATGAGTATATGTACATTCATGCATGACTGAAGCACTGTGCTGTGCACTAGAAATGGACACAGCATTATAAACTGACTATACTGCAACAACAACCCCCCCCCAAAAAAAGAAGAGCTGGTTTTAGAAATCTGAGAATTCGTACATAAGCTATACATAAATATTCTATACATATCTATATTTTAAAAAAATGTTTAAAAGAACAGAACTGGAGAAAATAGCAAAAGGAAATGGATCATTATGTAGCCCCACCCACCAGAGCTAGAAGCTATGAGCTCGTGTTAAATTAGCTTTTTATTTCTGGAGTTATATAACTGGAGGGTCATTTTCCTCCTCCTTCTACTTTAGTATTTTCAGTCATTTTTTTTTATTTATTTTAATTTGGTTCTGGCAACCACCTTCACAAAAGTCTCAAGTTAGCCTATGAGCTTATCTCTAAAAGTGATTATTTCTACAGTCACAGTTTCACTAAGTCTTGCAAGGATACCATACTCATCACACAGCTTTAAACTTTAAACACACCCTCTGTCATCAGTACATAAGGAATCAAAATCTTTAATAAATCCTAAAAATTACCTCTGAATAGCACAAAGCATCACACTGCGCATGTATTCTACCATTGTATGTATTAAAATACTTGGCGTTCATTAAAAGCATTACCTTATTCTATTTAAACACTTGAAATAAACAATTAACTCATAACCCAGTTTCAGCATTTCTTCACTTTTTCCCATATACTCAAAGAAAAAAAGCAATTGCTCTTTTTTAACCTCTAAGTTTGGGTGAGTAATGTATTACTATTTAGAGAAGAAATACTCTATAAATGTTGAAAGATTGAATTCCTGCAAGGAAAAGTAGAGTCGTTTTTCTAAGTTTTTGTCCTAGGGGAGTTGGGGCATGCTGCAATAAAGAAAAGATCTAAAGTCTCCAGCGAGACTATTCATTTACTTAATGGAGGTACTGGAGTTTGAGTTCAGGGCCTTGTGCATGCTAAGCACACACTCTACCACTGAGCTATACCCTCCCGCCTGAAGTTCATGGTTTCTCGTGCCCATATGGTCTTCAGCAGTGGTGGATGGGGCTGGTCAGGGACAGGGAGAGCATTACATCTCTTTGTAGGCACCTGGGTTTGCCGAGATCCTGCCTGCGGGTCTCAAACCTCCTGTTGCCCTACAGCCAAGTAGAAGGGATAGTGGAAAAAATGTCTCCTGGCACAGATCATCATAACAGTAATTCTGAAGAACCCAAGTGTGTTGGGGAGGGTATAGCTCAAGCGATAGAGTGTGTGCTTTGCATGAGGTCCTGGGTTCAATCCCCAGTGCTTCCTTCAAGAATAAATCAGTAAACCTAATTACCTCCTCCCACCTAAAATAAAGAGCCGAACGTTAACTCAGACCATGCTTGTTACCAAAACGACAGGCCAGCCAAGAAACAGGCACCACTCGGAGGGTTGGAGTATTCAGATTTATTATGCTGACAGGCTCAGAGGGGCTTCTGCTCCAGAGCTCTGAGCACCTCCAAGATGTGTGTATGAGATTTTATAGGGTTAATTACGAGCTTGGGGTATTCGGCCAATAGGCATGGAGCAGCTTTAGCAGCATCATTATCACAAAAGTAGAGTCAGGGAGGCAGCAAACCAACATTTCAAGGCCAGCTATGTTTCTCTGAAAATCCAGATGGCTAGCAAAAAACATGAGCAGGGAAACAGCGAACCGACACGTTAGCCCAGCAGAACTCAGATCAGTAATCCGACACTTGTTGCACTTAGATTTACGAGTTGGGCCCAGCTCATCTTTTCCTTTACACGCTCAGATCAAAAGTAGCACCTTCCTCACCTCCACCCGGAGCCACTCTCCATTCAGTGACTTTGTTTATCTTTCGGCACTTCTCACTAACCTGACTTATCTGATGAATTTGTTCACTTTCTTCCCACTGGATTTAATCAGGTTCCCTCCGATTCCCAAGTGCACTGAGTCTCGCACATACTAGGAGCCCGAGACACACATCTGAACTTCTACATGAAAGAATAAGCATGTCTCAAGACACCTCAGACGCAAATCCCTCCTTTTGCCCTCCCGCCCCAGGAGTCAACTCGAGGCTGTGACTCAGTGAGGTCAAGGGTAAATATTTCCGGATTGGGGGAGACACGCGGTTGCCGCAGGAGGCAGGATCGACCCTCCGGAGACGGGTTGTCAAGGTGACAGCCTTCGCTCTTAGCGGTCGAAAGGTGACCCCACCCCGCTGCCCAGCGCCGATTGGGCACACCTTTTCCGGATCTCCTTTACGATTGGCTGGGAGGCGTGGCCTCGATGCACCGAAGCACCTTGCAATTGGTTGGCACTCAGGCCCGCCTTCCATGGTGCGACGGCCTGGGCTGATGTGAGGCCAGCTCCCTAACCAGCCAATCAGGATGCGAGCTGAGTGCGATTCGTGAGTGCGACCCGGATCCCTCCGCCGCCGCCACGGGCATCAGCTTCTGGCTGGGGATGATCCGGCGCGGGCTAGGCTCCTGGGACACCCCTGGAGGGTTTCCGGGGCGTTGACTTGGGTGAGGGCAGGGGGACGCTGTGGCGCCAAATGGAGGAAAAAGGAGCGGGCCAGACAGCCTTGCCCAGAGAGGGCTCCCCCTACTTCTAAGGACCCCCTCCAGAAAATTCAAACTCTCTCATGGCATCCTAAAATTTAAAATAAGAAAACCACAAGAATCGGCAATACAAATACATACAATAAACAAAAGAACGCTAATAAAAATGAAAGACTTAAATTGCCCAAAATGCCCCAAAGAAATACCTAATACAGACTTACAGACAGGCAAATTCTGAACCCACAGTGTCTTTAATCTCTCCATAAGTATTTACTGAGTTGCTAGTTTGTTACGGGAACCAATGATCAAGAACCAAGATCTGCCCTGAAGTTTGCTGGAGGCACCCCAAAGACTTCATTTCGTATGGTGGTTAACGCTTTAATAAGCAGCCACAGGGATGAAGAATCTGGACACTGCTTTGAACTGTAACCACCTACTGAAAAAGGAGGAAGGCTTCCAAGCAAGGCGCGGCCTTCTGGAGGCCTTTTATTATGTGCACGAGAGATGGTATAAAAAAAGAAAGGAAAGCGTGTGTGTGAAAATAAGATTTCTCTGCATCTTATTACACCACCCTGCCCCCTTTTTCACCATTTGGGCTAGCTAAATTCACTAGAGACTGCATTTTTCGCAATCCTTTCCTCTGGAACCCTGGCTTCTGCAGAATGAATTTTGCATACATAAGCCAATTCAAGCCAGAGGGCAGATGGTCACCTCATCTGGTCACCACTGCTTGCCCTGTTAAAAACAGTCTGGAGAGGGGAGGGTATAGCTCAGTGATAGAGCACGTGCTTAGCCCGCACGAGGTCCTGGGTTCAATCCCCAGTACCTCCATTATAAATAAGTAAATAAAAACCTAATCCCCTCCTCCTCCTCGGGAAAAAAAAATCTGGAGAGGAAACCATAGCAAGCTTTAGATGGCTGTATGGCTGGTCTAAATTTCTTGGATTAAATGTTATCTCTGCTTGCCAGAAAAACCTGTTTCGCCAGTAGCGCTTGGCTGATTAGAATTAGGACAGTTTTAAAAACCCTGTACGTAGTGTATCACCGAGTTTCAGGTGATGCTGAGTGGCTGAGTGTCATAAAGAAAACGCAAGCAAGTGGTTTGTGCCCTCTGAATGTTGGCCATGAGCCTATGGCAGTAGAGATCAGTGAGCTGTAGGGGACATTCGCATTCAGGTAACACCCAATTTCCACAGCCCCGTGGGTGGGCAGGGAGGGTTGAGGCAACCCCATCACGGAGGGCAGAAGAAGAAATCCTCAAAAAAACCCATTGGCTGGCCTGGGAAACTCAGGGAATGTGGCTGATTCTTTGATTGGAATCACACCTTCATCTTTTTTCCGGGCCAGTGTGGTTGATCCTCATATGCAGTAACCACTAGAAACAGAAATGTGTCAATCTCTTGCCCCTGCTCTCCCTTCCCAAGTCCCACTTCATGACTCCTTTGGTTAGGACTTGAGGAAAACCAGTTTTCTGCTACAACTTGTCCTCATCTTGTCTGGGCCCTAAGGATTGCTTCTCTAATCCAGCAGCATATCCTCTTGACTCTCCCTTCCGAAATATCTCTATGCACGTATAGACATTTAAAGGTATGTATCTATATAAGCTTATATTTATGTATAGATATCTAGATCAATCAGTCGATCTATAAAGAGCTGCCTTCTCATCGTCTCCACCTTTCCATACTCATCCAAGCCACCATGATACCCCATGTAGACTTTTACAATGTCTTCCTAACAGGTCTCCCTGCCTGCACTCCATCCCACACTTCAAACCCAACCCCATCCTCTCCGTTACCGCATAACAGCTCAACTAGCACTGTGAAAGTGTAGGTCACGTCACTCCCCTACTCAGCACTTTCCAAATGGCTTCTCATCACACTTTGAATAAAATCCAAAGTCCTTATGCTGTGGCTTCCCAAGGCCCTATATGATCACTACCATTTGACTGTGCCAAGCATGCCTCAGGGCCTTTGCACTTGCCTCCCATGTCTGGAAAGTTTTTCCCAAAGATCAGTCCTGGGCTGAATGCTTCTTCACTTTATTTAGGTGGAGAATCTTCAGTTCTTATCTACCTGTCCTCACGGAACCCTGAGACACAAGAGCTGTGACGGAGGGGTCCTGACTTGGGGATCTGACCCTCCCTAGTTATCACTGATGGCTTGATAGTATCAGATCAGGTGATCTAGGTCATCACCAAACTCAAGTACCAAAGTGAACAGAGGCCCCTAGGGGTGGAAAGTGAATGTGAAATAACCTTTGGTGATGTTTCAGTTAGAATACTTTCGGCAAGTTATGATAGCTCAAGTCTCAGTGGCTTAAGCCGTGATGACAGTAACTGTTATATTCAACCAGAAGCCCAGGGCTAGTCACTGGCTTGCTCTGGCAGCTCAGCGAGTGGATCTAGGTTTTGCCCCTTCTGCACTGCCATCCTCTGTTTAGGGCCTTTCTTCAGTCTTGTCTCTCAGGGTTGCAGAACAACTGTCACAGATGCGTGCAAAATGGTCTCACTCATCAGGGAAAACTTCCCTAGAGCCCCCTTTTACAGCCTGCTTTGGTCTCATTGGCTAGAATTTGGTCTCGGGCCCCACCCCGGGTCAATCACTGGCCAAGGAGAAAAACGAGCGCTGTGATTGGCTTAGACTAGTGGGCCACATTGGGGCGCATTGACCTTTGGGGGATAGACACACAGAGGATTTCCGAGGGTTATGGGTACACACATTCTTTTAATGCGAAAAAATTTTACAGATCCTCGGCCTCGTACACACTCGGCCCTTGTAATTGCCAGAGGAAGTATCCGTGTGCCCTTCTCCCAATTAACCGTAACAGAAGCATTATTTATAACTCATGCACTGGCGGAGGGCACCAAAGCTTCCTTAAATCAGTCGACGCCTTTCTCCCGTCTTTCTCTGGCTTAAACAGTTCTCCTAAGGGGGCAGTTTGTCTTAGGTTGAAATGTTCTGGTCATAGAACAACCAAAGCAGTGAAATTTACTGACATTCATTCATTTAACTGAAACTGGAGTGTCTTCCAATACCTGTTTTTGTTTGTTTGTTTGTTTGGTACGGGGGTGAGTAATTAGATTTGCTTACTTATATATATTTTTAATGGAGGTGCTGGGGATTGAACCCAGGACCTCATACATGCTAAGCAGGTACTCTACCACTGAGCCATACCCTCCCCCCTCTGCCAATACTTCTAACTTCTTAAGCTACATTGAAGAACACCCACGAATGCGTTTTTAAATGCAGTTTCTTTCAGATTTGGTGTATTAATCAATTAGAGAGTATTAGTAAGATATTAATATCAATAGTATTATCATTATATCTTATTAATCAATAAGTAAAAATGAATTTTATTAAATTATGTCTGGCATATTCTTTCCTCACTTATTTCATTATAAAGTGCTCAAAACTTTTTAATATCCCTTTAAGCCTGTGATGGAACTTTCTAGAAGTTAACTTAATTCAGGATTCAGTCCCTTAGGTTGGGCCCCATCCTCCCAGGAGAGATTCCAGGTTGGGGTTTTGTGGCATTCCTAGTGCGTGGGCAGACAGCAGTGGTATTTTCTCCTCCAGCGTTCTCCTGAAGACAGACGTTCTGGGTTTCTGAGCTGCATCTTAGAATTGTGGCATTTGTTTCTATGTGTACAAAGGAATACCATGATTTGATAAGAGGGGAGAAATACGAAATTCATATTATCAAAAGCATATGCACTCCCCTTGGATAATCCTGGCTTCTGTGTCACCTATGGGTACCGTTCCTCTTCCAGACCATCAGTTTGGGGCCTTAAAAAAAAACAAACCTCCTTGCTATTTCCAAATACTCATGCCTTTCACATGAAACTGCTTTCAACATATTCTAGACGACTCAGTGTTTGCATACTTTACCATATTGGTTAACTGTCAAGAGTATAATAATGAGAAATTTGAAACATGGAAAATCTAACTACACACACACCACGGTGGGAGGAATAAAAAGGAAGGTGGGGGGAGGGAAATAGCTCAGTGTTTTAAGTCAGAGTCTATGTTTCTTTTTGGTGACTGAGAAACGGAAGCTGCTGGTTCCGAGTAAGTGGTGGAGGTATGGCATTGCTTCCTAAGACTCCAACACTGCAAAAAACTGGACTTGGGGGAAGCTGATTGGGTTGCTGTGCAAATGAATAATGACAAGGTGTATGGGAAGGTACCTAGCACAGTGCCAACGTGCAGTAGGAGTACAAGAAATAAACCCTCAAAATCTATCCCAGGTCGCATTCTTCTCTCCATTTCCACAGCCACCATCATCTCTTGCAACATCGTCGTAACCCGTCTCCCTGCTCTCGGAAGACTATTCTGAACCCAGCAGCCAGAGGGATTCCTATGACAGCTACAGTCAGAGCATGTCCTTCTGCTCCAAACCTCCCAATGATCTCATCTCACCCAGGGTAAAAGCCGAAGTCTTCAGTGGTCTCCAGGACCCACCTGAGCTGCAACCTCTTCCTCCATTGACCTTCTGCTCTAGGTCTCTCAGGTGAAAGACACTGGCCTCCTTGCTAGTTAACTAACTGTGTCCAACACTCTCCTGCCTCAGGGCCTTAGCACCTGCTGTTCCCTCTGCCTGGAAACTTTTCTCCCAGATACTGAATAGCTCGCTTCACTCACTCAACTTCTTCAAGTTATTGACAGAAGTAACCTTTTTAACGATGGGGATCTTCCCTGACAACTTCATTTAAATAGAACACTTCTCTCATGTTTTCTACTCTTCTGATTTATTTATTTTCATAGTCTTTAATACCTTTTATTATATAAGCAACAGTATACTCTCATTTATTATGTATGATACTCATTGGTATACTGTTTTTTATGGTATGTATTATGCGATGTGTTACACATACAAATAAAATGTATTTATTTGATTGTCTCCCCTCCTCCCCACATCTGTCCCCCGGCCCCCACCCCTCATGTCTTGCTGACAGAGGGCAGGTGTATCTGCAAAGCTTGCATAGTGCCTGGTACTCTGCGGGCGCTCAGTACCTAAGGGCAGGAAGAACAAAACGAACCTTAAAAGACTGAACGCCAGAATGCGCCTGCGGCCTCAGGCTCTCGGCTTCAGGCGCTGCTTTAACCCTTTCGCGTCCCAGGTGAGGTCGGGGAGCCCAGGCCCGAGGCGCCTGCGCAGCCCCGCGCTCCGGGGAGCG